TATCTCTTAAAAACAAATTTTTCATGACTGCAGAAAGATTTGGAGTTCTGGTTAGCATGATCTAAACCCCAGACAACTTTTAAGTATTCATTTTTTATAACCAAAAAAAAACGCTAACCCAAAAGGGGCCATACAGCATTAATATTGAAAAAAACGTTTCTTTTCCGCTTCATATCAAAAAGATAACAACAGGGTCCGCGGGTTATTCTTTAGCCAAAAAACTTTGGTTTAGGCCTCATTTAGAATATGCTGCACTTTTTCGGTCCCCGTATTATAGAACGGAACAATCGTTTGAAAACGTACAAAGAGGATGAAAAAGATGATCCCATGTATCAAAATCTTTCTACGGGGATAGTTTGGGGGCCCTGAATTGCCCCTCCAAAAAAGGGTACAAATGGGGGGGATAATTGAGGTGTATAAATGGAAAACGTAATAAATAAAAGGAATGTAAATAACGTGCTAAAAAAATTAACCAAGACATTATTCGCAGCAAGGGTTCAAGGGGAAAAAAATTTTGGTTTAAAGAAAAGAAATAGGAAAAAGGTGAGGTTCCCGGTGACGTCTTTTGATAAAAAAAACATTACGTATTTTTAAAAAATTAGGTTAAATAAATACATGAGGGGTGTGAGTTGGACCCCCTCGTACCAAGGCCTGCAGTGCCCCTTTCTTTTTTGTGTTCTTTTTTTTTAACACGTCAGCCGCTTCCCACCGAGCCCCCAAAAAGAAAGAAAATGAAAAAAGAAAGAAAAACTTTCATCACATTCAATGCTTTCACCATTACTCATACACTTTTACTGCTTCTAAAAGGGCTCAGATACATAGTTTAGATGATTATAATAATAAAAATATATAAATTTTAATAAAATATAAATATATATATATTAAATATATAAAAATATTTTTTTGTTTTTTTTTTTTGAGGAGAGGGAAGTGAGAGATAAAAAAGGTAAAAAGCGAAAAATGGAAAGGAAGAGAGAAAAGAAGGAAGGAAAAGAGGTTTGGACGGGGAAAGGGACAAGCAGGTAAGGGTGACAGAAAATTTAATACAACAAGGGAGGGAGAGGAAAAGGAAAGTCAAAAAGAAAATGGCAGAGGTGAAAAAATAGGGAGGAAATGGAGAGGGAGAGTGATAATGATGGGGAAAGATTAATGTACAAAGTGGAGGAGAGAAGAAGAGAGGAGAGAGATAGAAGAAGAGAAAAGAGAGAGAGAGAGAGAGAGAGAGAGAGAGAGAGAGAGCTGGTCCTGGGCACAGAATCAATGGACACAGCTGGTGCACATAGGCATCACTACAGGGGCTCCAGCAGGCGACTATGTTGTATCATAATAGCCAATAACTCATGTCTTTAAAAAGTATTTCCCTTACAACAACACAAACGGTTTAATCATAGCCGTTAGCATTAGACTTGTCTGTGTGTTAATGACAAGTGTAATGAACCAGCACTGTCCTCGGGCACTAAATATATTTCAAGGCACATCCCGGGCTGAAAAAAAAAATACAGAATGGATATGATCAAACAGATTGTTTGCTTATTACATTTTCGGAAAAGCACTAAATCCATAGGGATCAGATAGTGCCTGGGGAACGGATGGCATGACGGTCGACCGAGAAAATGAAGGGTAGCTTCTGTTTCGTGGATAAAGTGTCCTTCACCGGCGTCAAGGAGGGCCTCCATCACAGACACTCTTCAGCAGATGGATCTGGTAAAATGTGTTAGAGTTGAATGTACAGGTAAATGATGCAGAAAACGTTTCGGTCCTGGGACCGCTATGGTAGATGAGGCAACATGACGACAAACGAATGAAGACACAAAACAGTTTAAGCCTTTATTACATCGACATTTTGTTCAAGGGTAAAGTTCATCAAACTAGCAGAAAATACGTACTATACTTCTTGTGTAATATTAGTGATGCTGCACAATACTGACAAGTTTATGAATATAACACTCGTGGTATGGATATAACTCTATTGTCGAAACGTTTCGCCTCCACAACAGGCTTCTTCAGTCGAATACAAGCGAATATAACACTGGAGACAAAGAAAAGCAATTTTAGGTGATTAGTCCCTCAGGTCATAACCTCCTTCCGGACAGGTAAAGAGCTAAGTGATGACCTGTATCATGTGACTGCTGCAAGAGTCAGATCAAGATGCAGGTCAGGAGTCTTTACACAGGATACATAACATAGGAGGTTTGTTAACAAGATGCAGTCAGGAGTCTTCACACAGGGATCCAGTGAACATAGGAGGTTTGTTAACAAGATGCAGTCAGGAGTCTTCACACAGGGATACAGTGAACATAGGAGGTTTGTTAAAACAAGAGCAGTCAGGGGTCTTCACACAGGGATACAGTGAACATAGGAAGTTCGTTAACAAGATGCAGTCAGGAGTCTTCACACAGGGGTCCAGTGAACATAGGGAAATTCGTTAACAAGATGCAGTCAGGAGTCTTCACACAGGGAAATTCAGTGAACAAGGAAGTTCGTTAACAAGCCCCTCGTTGGCTCTAAGAAACCTCGTTAATTAATACTCTCGAGATGCTGAAGAAAAAATTATATATTTCATATAAGACAAACAATTTTTTTTTCCCCCTTTTTTGGGGAAACCCCCCCCCCCCCTTTTTTTTTTCCCCCCCTTTTTTTTTTTTTTTTTCCCCCAAAAATTTTTTTTTTTTCCCCCCGGGTTTTTTTTTTTTTGGGGGTTTTTTTTTCCCCTTTTTTTTTCCCCCCCCAAAAACCCTTTCCCCCCAAAATTTTTTTCCCCCCAACCCCCCCCCCCCCCTTTTTTTTTTTCCCCCCCCCCTTTTTTTCCCCCCCCCCCCCCCCGGGGAAAAAATTTTTTCCCCTTTCGGGGGGCCCCCCCGGCGCCCCCCCCCCCTTTCCCCCCTTTTTTTCCCCCTTGGCCCAAGGTTTTCCCCCCGGGGGGGGGCCCCCCCCCCCGGGGGCCCCCCCCCGGGCCCCTTTTTTTTTTCCCCCCGGGGCCCCCCTTCCCCCTTTTTTGGGGGTTTTTTCCCGGGGGCCCCCCCTTTTTTTTTTCCCCCCTTTTTTTTTTTTTTTTTCCCCCCCAAAAAATTTTTTTTTTTTTTTCCCCCCCTTTTTCAAAAGGGGCCCCTTTTTTTTTTTTTTGGGTTTTTCCCCCTTTTTGGGGGGGCCCCTTTTTTTAAAAAAAACCTTACCCCCCCCCAAAAATTGGGGAAAAAAGGGGCCCCCCCCCCCTTTTTTTTTCCCCCTTCCCCCCCCCAAACCCTTTTTTTTTTCCCCCCTTTTTTTTTCCCCCCCCCCGGGGTTTGGGGGGGTTTTTTTTTTTTTAAAAAAGGGGTTTTTTTTTTTTTTTTTTTTTAAAGTTTTTCAAACCCCGGGGGGGGGGAAAAAAAAAAAGGGGGGGGCCCCCCCTTTTTTTTCCCCCCCCCCTTTTCCCTTTTTCCCCCCGGGGGGGGTTTTCCCCGGGGTTTTTTTAAAATTTCCCCCCCCCCCCCCCCCCCCCCAAAACCCCCCCAAAACCCCCCCCCAAAAATTTTCCCCCCTTTTTTTTTTTTTTAAAAATTTTTTTTTTAAAAAAAAAATTTTTTTTTTTTTTTTTGGGGGGGGGGGGTTTTTTTCCCTTTTTTTTTAAAATTTTTTTTTTTTTCCCCGGGGGGCCCCCCCTTTTTTCCCCCCCCCCCCCTTTTTTTCCCCTTTTGTTATTTTTTGGGGGGGGGCCCCTTTTTTTGGGGGGGCCCCTTTTTTTCCCCTCCCCCCCCCCCCTTTCTCTTTTCCCCCTTTTTTCCCCCCCTTTTCCCCCCCTTTTTTGGGTTTCCTTTCCCCCCCCTTTGGTTTTCCCTTTCCCCCCCTTTTTTTTTTGGGGGGGGGCCCCCTTTTTTGGCCCCCGGGGCCCCGGCCCCCCCTTTTTTTTCCCCCCCCCCCCTTTTTTTTTTTTTTTTTAAAAAATTTTTTGGCCTCTTTTTCCGGTTTTGGGGCCTTTTTTTTTTTTTAAAAGGGGGTTTTTTTTTTTTTTTGTTTGTTTTAAAATTTTTTTTTTTTTCCCCCGGGGGAATTTTTTTGTTTTTTAAAAACCTTTTTTTTGGGCCCCTTTTTTTCCCCGGTTTTTTTTTTCTTTTTTTTTTTTTTTTTTTTTTTTCCCCCCTTTGGCCCCCCTTTTCCCTTTTTTTTTTCCTCTTTTTTTTTTCCCCCTTGAAATTTTTTTAAAAGGGGTTTTTTTAATTTTTTTTAATTAAAAATTTTCCCCCTTTTTTTTTCCCCCAAATTTTTTTCCCCGGGGCCCCCCCCTTTTTTTTTCCCCCCCCTTTTTTTTTTTCCCCTTAATTTTTTTTCCCCCCCCTTTTCCCCCCCCCCCCTTTTTTTTTAAAAAACCCCTTTTTTTTTTTTTTTTCCCCCCTTTTTTTTTTTGGGGGAAAAAAAAAAACCCCTTTTTCTGAAAAAAAAAAACTCTTTTTTTTAAAAAAAAAATTTCCCCTTTTTTTTTTTTTGGAAATTTTTTTTGGAAAAAAAAAAGG